GCAACCCTTTGATTTGTAGGCCAGCACTCAATCCACTGCGCCACACCAGCCAGGGCAAAGTTCTTTTTTTCTTATTTGTTCAATCCTGGCTTCTCTCTTTTATATTAGAGATGATTCTCAAATGTTTGGCGACTCTTATCTTTTCAAATCTCCCAAATGTTACTAGAAGTTCTGTGTGCATTTATAAGGGTTTATTGACTAGTATACTTCTCAGTGGGTAGACTAGACAGGGATTTCATTGGAAGACCCCAATTGTTAGTATACAAAATTCTTTTTTTTAATTTCCCGGATATGAATATATATGGTAAGCCTGGTTGTCTGTTCTGGGAAGTGGCTGAGTGAAGTGGACTAGAAGGTCTCACCCTTTAATACACATACTTTCATTCTAGCCTTATCCCATACTCTGCTGATGTGTATCTTTAGATCAAAAGCCTCTCACATTTTGTTTTTCTAGAGTATAAATCTTTGATATCCTGCCAGGATAGTGGGTGGGGGCAGCTTGGGATTAAAGGAGGGCATCTGAGCATCTATCTGATCCTTTTACAATCATTCAAACAGCCCTGTTTTCAAATCCACTCTTCCCTCCCTCTTTCAGAGGTATCTGGTGTCTCCAGTTCCCGAGCCTTTCCAGTGTCGTGGCACACAACGGGGTTTGCTCCGTTTAGGACTTCGCCCCACTGCCCCACTCCCCAGAGGCATAAGGTTTCACGGTCTGATAGTCTGCTAATTGCCGCTCACCCCTACATTGCTTTCCATTTCCCAAAGTGTAGTTGACATCTCGTCCATCTGGTGACAACTCCTCTCTTGTTTTCTTTTCCTTGTGAATTTATTCACTGTTTATTAGTTGACTGTCATTTTAGTGTTTTGAGATGAAATAGAGATAAACATATGTATTCAATTCTCCCTGTTTAACAAAAGTTTTCCTTTCTATTTTTGAATATATTTTATTTTTACAGGAACTGGTAGAATGTAAAACTTCTGCCCCTTTGTTTTCTTTATCTATAGCCTTAAGACAACAAAAATATTGAGTTCTCTGTACTGGTTTTCCTTTGGTAGTTATACATGAGCTGTTTTTGTGTTTTCTTATTTTAATTTGCTACATTCTTTTTCTGGATGACAACAAGGCCCACAGCAGCAGGGCCACGCTGTCCTGACAGGACTCACGTGGAGCTGGTAGGAAGAAAAACGGGCCGCAAGAAGCACGCGATCTGTTTTAACCAGGTTTTAAATGATAATGTCCTATTCTCTAACATACTATGTTTCTTTTCTGACTTCCCTCTTTTTTCTCCTAATGTTGTAATTTTTTATGTGTGTGTCTGCTCTGTCTGAGGAGTTTTCTGGGGGGCCCCTTTTCACATTTACATTTCCCATACAGTTTTATTTTCCATTTTCTCTCTTATTGACCTGTGCCTTTTGTTGCTTCACCTCTGACCCTTGTTTCTGTGGCTGCTCTCCAATAATCCCCACTCCACACAGGAATGCCCATTTTGCCCTTTAGAGGCTAAGGCCTTCCTCCCACCCTTGAGAACTTTCTTCATACAATAAAAAACAAAGTCCACCCATTCTCTGCTCTCTTGAACGAGAGCTGGACTTTCCTCTCCTTAATTAGCTTTCTTATTAGACCATTAATTTATCTTCATTCTAATGGGAATTTGTTCTCCATTTAAAAGTGGCTTTTCTTCTCCAGAACCTGAGAAATTTCAAGTGTCTGCAATGCATGGTCAAAATAGTAGTGCTTTTCACTTTAAATGCCACAGACTCTATTCTTTCTGACCTGTAACTTCTATGCTTTTATAGGCTCATTTCCTACTTTTATAAGAAATTCTGGACTTTGGCGTGCTTAACCAGAGAAGCAGCCTTAATTATTTACTCCTACCTTTTAGTTATAATTATTTAACTTCTAATAGAAAACCTAGCCAACCCTCCCCTCTCCTCACCCCAGCATAAGGAAATCTTCCCCCTGGCATATCCTTGGGTAATTTTCCCTGTGAGATGATCCCTTTCTACTACCCAGTAAGGATCCATAACCATTTGTATACCATCTTGGTGTCCTGTATCTTTTAATAGCCTACTTTAAAAAAAACCAAAAATGTCATCTTTATGTGGCTTTCTTTTATAACTAATGAGCAGAAAGAGCTCTAAATGTAGCTCCCTTTGCCTGAAAATGACATTCACTCTTCACTTTCAGTCTGGTTTTGCTTGCCAAAATTACCTCCAGAGGCCCTGAGATTGGCAGTCCTAAAATGGCCCTGTGTCCCTACCCTCTTGCTATTCACACTCATGTGCTATTCACACTCACTTTGACTGGGGGCTGGGCTTATTGACTCATTTATGAAGAGTAGAATACAGCAGAAGCAACGGGGATGTCACCTCCAAGATGAGATTGCAAAAAGACTGTGGCTTCTATTTTAGGCACTCTCTTTTTCACTCTCTCATTCTTGCTTATTTGCCTGCTCTGAGGGAAGCCAGCTGCCGTGTGGTGGGCTGTTCTATAGGCTGTTCTATGGAGAGGTCCATGCTGTAAGGAACTGAGGAAGGCCGCTGAGCTCCAGCAAGGTGCTGAGGCTCTGAGCCCAAGAGCCCGTGAGGAAGTAAATCCTGCTAGCAACCACAAAGTAAGCGTGGAAGCCAACACTCTCCTGGCTGAGCCTTTGGATGAGACCACAGCCCCCGACAACCTGGCACCAACCTCATGAAAGGCCGTGAGCCAGAAGCACCCACCTAAGCCACATTCAGATCCTTGACTGACAGAAATGATGAGAAAATAAATGTTTGCTGCCTGAAGCCACTGAATTTGAGGACAATTTATTATTGTACAACAATGGAAAACTAATACAGGCCCTTAAGGCCAATTTTTTAGCTTCTGTCTATGCTTTATGTATGACAGGTTTCTGTTTAGGCCATTCTTTCCTCCTGATGTCAATGTAATTACTCATATAAAACTTTCTTTAAATTCTTCTTTGAGAGCAGTGAATGGCAGTCGTCAGTTATATTCATAACTGCATATCTAGTGTCCAGCACAGGGCCTGGCGCCTGCATAGATGCCCAACACACATTTTCAGAATTTGACCCTTCTGTCTTTTTCTACATGTCCTAGTTTACAAGTTACTCCTTATCTTCCATATTGCCATCTCTCTGGGGATTTAAAAGTTAGAAAACCTGCTGGTCTCATTGCCTTGACCTTTCCCTCCTTTAACCTCCTGTCTCCCCTCTAGAACGTCAACGCCACTGTCTCCCTTGAAGCAGAACCGCATCACCTCTGTCCTTCTCAGGGTCTCCGCAGCAGAGCCGAGGGAAGGTGTGCTGTCCCCTCCCACTCCTGTCCGCACTGACCACGCGGCTCCCTGTACCAGGGACGCTATGCTGCTGTGCTCCAGCAGGAGATGCTCATCTGACCCCCTAACCATCTGGAGGAATACATAGTGTGCTTATTGTTACTTTAAAGTAAAAAACAGAAAATAAATGAGGCCTAGAGATGAGTGCTAAGCCTGGGGGTCCCTGTGGAACTCGGGGTCACTGTAGCTCAGGTTTCCTGAAAGAGGAAACATCGCTGCCACAGAGATGCAGCTTTGAGTCTCGCCCCGCCGCACTGCGGGGCCTTCCAAAAGTCAGTTCCTCATCGCTAACATGGAATTCATTTCTCCTTTACAGGGCGGTTACGGCATTGCTGTTGATCCAGCATTCTGCCCATTCCCATTTTAACTTAGTTTATAACTCCTTTGCAATAATAAATTCACTTCCTAATTATAATGCTGGCATATACTTAACTTTTTATTCTGCTGGATAATTTAAATGTAGCAAGAACACGGTATATTTAATTATTAATAACCAATGTTATAACTAGTACTTTCTTTTTATTCCTTAAAATGCCCATAAAACCGACAAAAGATGACTTGTCATTAACATTCAGAGTCTTCCCCCATTTGCCTTTTTTTGTTATCCCCTCATGAATGGGATCAAACATTCTGATGTGACATAACTTGGGTGATTACAGAACAGACTAATTGCTCTACTGCCCTAGTTCAAGTTGCTATAAGAAAGTACTATAGACTGGGAGACTCAAACAACAAAACAAATTTATTCCTCCCAGTTCTAGAGGCCAGGAAGTCCATGGTCAAGTCACAAGCACATTGGGTGTGTGGCGCGGGCCTGCTTCCTGGGTCAGAGACACCCTCCCCCTTTGTCCTGATGTGGCACAAAGGGTGAGGGAGCTTTCTGGGATCTCTTTTATGAGGGCACGAAGCCCGTTCTCGAGGGCTCTGCCTTCGTGATTAAATACCGCCCAGAGTCCCCCCCTGACTTAAATGCCTCCCCAAGTCCCCACGTCTAAATGTCATCACACTGGGGATTAGGTTTCAGGATTTTTTAGAGGACACACACACTCAGTCTGCAGCAGCCACCATTTCCACACTGCTTAGCAGTTCGGATATAAGACTTTGTTAGAAAGAAATTTTAAATCAAAATCTGTCTACTCCCGTTCAAATAAAAACATTGCTAAAATAATCACACATGCATAAGAAAGAAGACCAACACACGTAAATTACCTTATAAATTTAGGTTGATGGAAAGATAAATCCCTCAAGAAAAATGGTATTTAAGATATATTGTCCAAATATTATTTGAACTAAAGCAGCAAGTCCTCTAAAAGTTTTTTGGCAAAGATTTAATGTCCAAAGAAGCAAGACATATAAAGATTACTAGTGGCAGAGGTTTTAAAAGGTCATTTGCAACACAGTAGCACTGGGTGCTGAGAAAACCTTAGAGATTATGTAGCTTCGTGTATTCATTTCACAGAAAAGGAAGCCAGGTCCAGGAAGGTTAAGTGACCGCCTAGTTAAAGACAAAACCAGGATATGATCCCAGGTCCCTGACTGGCAGTCCAGAACTTTTTGCATGACACCAAGCTACCTTTCATGTTTTCGTTCGTTTGGTTTTTGAAAGAGCATCTGCCACGGTACCGCCTCTCACTGCGGCGGTGGGTGCCATCGGCGGCCTCCTACCTCTTCCTGGGACTGCCTGAACTGCTGCATCAGCTGCGTCTGCGCCAGCAGGGCCCTTTCCAGTTCATCGGACTTCTGTTTCATTTCCTTCCTCAAGTCCTCTGAAACAAAATCACCATTGTCAATTTCCTTCTTCAAGCGAGATTCAAATTCTGCAACCAGATTCTTAAGGTTTTCAATTTCCTTCTCCTTTGACTCAGATTCTTCAGTATATTGGACATGGGATTCATGCAGTTTTTTTTCAAGAGTGGCTACTTCCAGCCTTAAGTCTCTAGTAGCGCCTGCGATTAAGTCAGATATCTGTAAGATAAATCTTGTATTAGTTTTTAGGCAATATCTCCAGGTAACCACAGAGTTCTCATGGTTTTCAAAGACTTATTCTACATAATCAGTGTACACCACTGATCACATGAAAACAAATCCTATGACATATGTAGGCCTCCAAAATTTTCTTTTTAAAAGTTAAGACTAAAATTTTTGTTTTTACCACCTTAAACGGAATTGCACTAATCACTTGAGCATCCTTAGAAATACATGAATCTCTGTAACTGGGTTAAGTCACCAAGAATAGCTCCAGTGGTGATTAGTTGCCTGTCTGGACTCACTACAGGGTAGCTCTGTCAGTTAAAATGCCTGATGCTTGGGATGCACGTACAGGAGCACAGCATTTATATTTTACTCATACCATACCCATAAGTTTCCCTTTGACATTTTTTCTTTCTTGTACATAATGACTGGAGGTACTTCAGGTACTATACCTTATAGAGCAGTATGCCCGACAGAACTTCCTGTGATGATAGAAGTATTCTGTGATGTCCAATATAGTATGGACACAGTAGGCACTACATGTGGCTATTCACAGTGTGTGCTGATGCGTGTCTAACAACTGACTCCCCCCCACACACGAGCCAGGTCTGTGTCTGATCTCCACAGCACAAATGCTCTCACCACGACCAATTCCGAGCTCCCAAGGTGACATCAGTGATCGCTGAGTTGGGAAGGGACGTGCACAATGGGCTCTCGCTTGCCAGGACTGGGTAATGAGCATTTGAAATGTGGCTAATGTGACTGAGGAACTGCAGGTTTAATTTTATTTCATTTTAATTAATTGAAATTTAAGTAGCTCCTTGTGGCTACCACATTAGACAGTGCAGTTGTAGAGGATACCAGAATTCTTTAAAATATACTGCTTTTCAAGGTGGTACCTCTAGATAAATAGAAGAGAGAATAACTTGGGGAAGCTTTTCTTCATCATAATAAAAGTCTTTAGAAGGGAAAATGCTTTTTCCTCTCTCCTTAAAAAACAAAACAAAACAAAGAACAGAAAAGAAGTGGGAAGAGCAAAGCTGCTTCTGATGCAACATATCCTTATTATTTATGCTGCGGATATTGTCATGTAACAAATATTAGTACAACAAGAAACCAACCCATGGAGAATCTGGAAAACATTCAGAGACCAAAGTTCTACGGATTTTGTGAACTATTACTTAAGAATTAAATATCCAAAATTTGTTCCAAATGTTAAATTTACATTAAGAATAACTTTTATAAGAAATCCATTTACTACACTTAGTAATTATATAAACTAAATTCAGATTCCATTATCTTCAATTAATCCAGGAAGGAAGAGGGTCGCAACTAGGTCTGGACAGTAGTTCCCATCACCCTGAGGAGACGTGACGCTGAAACAGAGCAGGTTATCCTTGGGAGAGGAGGCTCAAATAGCCACAAGTACATTTGGATTTTTAAAAAAGGGAGTCAACATTTAAAAATCACGAGTTTACTTATGAAACCTAGACTTATGACTTCTCTTGAAAAACTGTAACCCCTGGCAAGCTGGGGCTTGCCTTTTGGCATTCCCCTGCAGATGGGGCACTGAGACATCCAGGACCCTGGGACAGCAGTCCTGAGGTGAGGGGAGGTCAGGAGAACACGCCAAGAGGAGCCAGGGGTGGCCTGGGGGGCAGGACTAAGAGAGGACCTGCCCAGGATGGGTGACCTGGGGTGAGCCCAGGTTCCTGGTTCCCCAATGTGTTTCATTGTCTCAACAGGCCTTCACTTATATTACAATACAGGAATTGAAAGGTAAAATTATTAAGAATTTCAAAACAGCATTTGCAGAGTATTAAGCCCCAAATATGAGGCCCTTCTGAGTGCAGGGCCCTGTGATACTGCTGCATTTGCTGCACGCTCATGTAGCTGGCCTGCCTCGTGTTCACAGCGGACTGTTGAAAATGCTGGACCATGCCCCGGTACACCAACGCAGAGGCCAGGAAGTCTCATCTGATACTTAACTTACACAGACTGTTAATGATTTTATTCAAAAATAGGGGTTTCCCCACTGCACCTTGGTTAATACACACACCACACACACATACATATACAAACACATGCATATTACCACACCCAGGCCTTATAAAAACAGGGGAATCTTAACAAAATCTTATGTTTTTGACACAATTTTTCAGAAACTAGGGAGGTGGTTACATTTAAAAAATATTTCTTTAAAAGGTAGGACAACTATAACTGAACAATAATAAAAATAAATAACTACAATAAAAAAGAAGCAAAAATATTTAGTATTGAAAATATCATGAAAGAAGATAGGTTTTAGTTGTTGGAAAGTTTTTAATTATATAAAACACCTCATTATCTTTTGATGTTGCATGTTTTATATGTTAGACTATCTAGTCATGCTAATTAGAATTGCATAATTTATGTTGTTTTAAAAGTAAGCTTATTTCTATATACAGCTGGGTTTCATGCTTGTATAGCTAATATCAGTTATTCATTCTGGAGAATATGCAAATCATTCTTCCTATGTGGCCAAGCCCAAGGCACAGCGACCGGACTTGTAAATACTGTCATGTTCTTAGACGGAACAACCAACGTCTGTAGTTTCAAACCCATTACATGATATTGACCATTATAATGCCAGACCTTCATTTGTAGCTCCTCTTGTTCTTTCTTATACTTTTGGATCATTTCTTGGTGTTTTTCCTTTTCAATATCAAGTTCCAGTTTAGCTTCTTCTTTACAGAGAAGAGCTTGCTCCTCAACTTCAAGTAAATGCTGGGCTCTTTCCTTGGTGAGTTCAGCTTCAATCTAGAAAATAGCATTTAACACACATATAAAGGCATTGTACCTTAAAATCAGTAAAGTTGTTTTCAGATTACAACATTTTTTAAAAATTCTAACTCCAATAGTAATTTTAAAAACTAATCTAGTTTTTAAACTCTAATATATTTATTTTTAATTTGACTGAGAACTTAGATCGGATATATTGACCTTGGGTCAAATATTTCAAGATCTTTTAAAACCTGAAAAATGAGTCGAGATGGTAGGATAATATATTATAACAGTTCTGAGAAATACTAAAAGCTTTGTCTTCTGTAAACTCAGTCCTCGCCAGCAACTCCCCCCTGCCCCCCAAAAAAGATTTTGAGGCCCTTAAACTAAGTGCTGCTGAGAGCTCAAAGGGATACAAGGTACAGAAGTTGGATTTTTAATGGTCCTTTCTTGATGGAAACCATAGGAAGTGTTGGAGCCACAGATGATCATTGTAATGTGACTGAGGTCAGAAAGTTGATCAAGGAAAACATATGGATGCCTGTGTCCATATTTTGACTCAGACAGAATCACAGTGCTGGAAGGGCCCTCAGAAATCCCTTAGTTCAATTTCTCAAGCTTTCATGACTTGCGGAAAGAATAAACAAGGACTTTGGATTTAGATGAAGTGGAATTTAAATCCTGGTTCTCACACTTTCTACTTGTGTGATATTAAACTGTGATCATGACTTCTACTGGTGGGGTTATAACTAGTTCCCTTGGGGGTCCTTATGCGGGTTAAATGGGATGAAACATCCGTGTAAAGCTGTAGCATGAGCAGAAATTCAGTAGTCACTGGAGAGCACTTCTCTGCTCTGACCCTCAGTCTCTACCATGGATCTGCACCAAACAGTCGTCTGCTCTGTGAGTCTACACCGCCAGAAACCGTAACTCACCCCTTCCCCAGCAGGCGTTTCCACTTTCAGGCAGCACTAAGCATTAGGCACTTTTTCCTTTAGCTGGGCCAACATCTTTCTCCCTGTGGTTTTAAACCAATGGTTTTGGCTCTGCCTACTGGAGCAAGAGAGAAAGTCCTGGAGTCCTTCAGACCTGGGAGTTCATCTAGTGAGATTAGAGAAGAGATTCCAGTGACAGGCTGGCTCTAGATTTACACTGTGCCATGACTGTAAATTCTAAGAGGGAGGCAATGCCAGACAACTTGGGAGAAAAACTGTCAAACCTGACTTAGTGTGACTCTGTGGTTGATGTCACTATAAGAAGGGGAAAAACGTCAATCCACATTTCTCAAGGGAACACTGAAATCAGGGAACCGGGAAACAGACAGTTTGCTAAGAAGGTTTGTCAGAAGCCCTTTAAATTTAATAAAATGCAGACAGAAGACCAGCTCCAATGCGGAGTCACTGGGGTTAGTGGGTTTATCTGAGCATTTGCCCCAAGGCAAAGCAATTCTATTTATACTCAACACAAGAAGTTGTTTTGCTTCTCTCAGAATAAATTTCTGGATTGTTTTGGGGAAAGGACGCCGATGATCACTTACAAACACGACAGAATTGTTCAGATGTGTTGCTGTTGGACTGCTAAAGACAAGAAAAGCCTTAGAGACACTCAGAAAAAAGGACAGATATTCTTCTGAATTCCAGGTACTTACATCCACCTGCCTCCTGGTAGCAATGTAGGGACTTCACGGTGTCTCAAATAAAGGCCCTGAACCAGAAACCTTAACACAACCCTGTTTCCATCTGTTCCTCCCCAGCCCTCCCCACCTCACACAGAACCGCCATCCATCTAGTTATGCAAGTCAGTAATTGGGGTGCCATCTTTTATTCCCCTCTCTTCCTTACCCTCCACACCTAATCTGGCATCAAATCCTATTCATTTTTCCTCCAAAAGATGCCTTACATTCAGCTATTTCTCTGTATTTGCACGCCATTGCCCTAGTTCTGGCCACTGTCACCTCTTGACTGGCCTCCTTACTTCTACTCTGTTTCTCTCCAATCCATGATACACACAGCAGAGTGTTCTTTACAAAATATAAGTTGAATGCTCTCATTCCTTCTTAGTGGTTCCTCAATGCATCAGTGTCAAGTCAACAGTCCTCTACATGATCTTCTATCTACAGGGCCACCACCAGCCCATATGAAAACTTTGCATGAATCAGCAGAGCACCCCTTCCTTAGATGAATTCAGCCCCATGCCAGCCAGGCACAGTACTTGGTGAGCAGAGCACAGGCTGGATTCCAGCCCTGTTTTCTCCCTTGGCCTGTGCTACTGCACAGGTCTGGGGCAGCTCTGGACTTCAACCTGACTCTCACCACACGCCCTGTTTGATCACTGCGCTCCAGCAACACCGGGATAGGTAAGTCAACAACACAAGAAAGAAGGACATCAACTGCAAAACATTTGGACAGATTGCAAGGAATAATTTTAAGAATTAAATGGCTCACAAGATACCTTTAAAAAACCCCAACCAAATAACATTTTTTAGAAGCTCAAAAAAAAATGTGTTCTGAGCTGCTAAAAATATCAATTATTTAAACATTTTTTTGCATGGTTAATTGATAGAGCCAAATAGTTATCTTAGGACAAAAAGGCATCATCAAAATATGGACTAATTTCTCCAATTAAGAAAGTACACAAATTAGGTAACCCAGGGAAAAATTGTAAATTAAAGACAGAAAGATTTTAGAAGAACTTTTTTAAAAAGTTCTTTTAATTTATCATGGGGAAGAGGCCATTTTGAACATCCATAGAGTACCTTGAGAAAGATGAAACAAAGGGGAAACATTCAGGGAAGGAAAGGGCGTGGCTGACTGCTTGAATGGGTAGGATGTTCTGGTCTACCTGAATCGGGAAGCAAGAACTTCTTGCCCTTGAACTATTTCTTGGAATGAACTATTGTAGGTAAAGAGAAATAGGTAGAAGGTGGGAAAGAAAAAGCACTATAAATAGAAGTGAGAAGAGTGATTCACTATTACTGGTTTGCATTTTAATTTGCACAACCTGAGAAAGAGAAGCAAAATGATGAGCTTCAGGTGGCATTTCGAACACTTAAGGAAGCTGCAATGAGATGCCAAGAACCATCTCCATGTGCTGACACTGTAGCAGAGAGAGATGACCCTGCTGGTTCCTCCATCATCTGAATAGTTGGAACAAAATGATGAACCCACAAACACCATGGCTTGCTTAAGCCAGTGCATTATTTATCATTGAGAAGATGGACTGTGCCAGTGTCGTGTTTATGTATTTTTCACACGTTGACAAGGAGCTGTTTGTTTCAAATATCTTAGATGGCAGGACTTCTGTTTATGTCAAATAAATGAACTCAGTGATGATGCATACAGAAAAATATGAACTGCTTTATCCAATAATTAATGGTAATTTTGATAATTATGAGGAAATTCTGATTTTTAAATAAAGAATAACAAGGAGAACTCAAGAGCTACATGAAGTAAAATTACTTATCTGTGTACACATTCTAGGTTTAATTCTTTTAGCTGTTTATTTATCCATATTCTCCTCTAGCTTAAACTCTGTCTCCTTGGTGAATGCCTCCTGATGCTTCCAGAGCATTCTTAGAATGTTAATTTTTAAGTCCATTTTTTATTTGAAGTTGAGCTGCATAATTAGTGTTTTATAATATATGTCTAATTCTGATGTGCAGAATAATGTCTTTTCACTAATTATTTTCCAAGTGAGAGCTTTCTGGTTGATTTGAATATCATTTTCTAACTTTCCATGGAGTCAAATATCACATTATAACATAATCACTTATCACTTCATGATCCCTTTAAAACCAAGGAAATTTCAGATGTCAAAGTAGAAATAAAAGCATTTATTAAAATTTGATGTACACATACCATTTAAAAAATAAATTATACTATTTTCCAAATAAAAACAAATACTGGTTGAAAACTAACACTTAGGATTATTTCTGAATTAATTACTGAATAAATATATTATAAAAGTAGGTGATTATTCTAATGCACAGAATTTTTAGTAAAAATTGCTAAGGAATCAAGAATATATATTGAAGTCCTCCCAAGAGCTGTGTAAACTTAGGACCAAAAGAGAGAATGTTCACTGTGTACCTCTGAGTATATAAGCTATGAAGTATGGTGTAGGACATATTTCATACATCAACTCATTTAATTCTTACAGCCCTGGGAAAAACATATAATAATTATTATTCCCACTGTCTAGAAAGAAACAGTCATAAGAGAGGTTAAGTATTTTCACTAAGACCATAGAGTTAATATGAGGTGGAGAAGGTATACACACTCAGTATTTCTGGTGGATCCATAACTCAGGGTGTTTAGTTTTTCCATGTAGCCTGTCTCCTCATACTTGTACATGGAATAGTGATTAAGGACATGGATTAGGTATTCACTTAGTTTCAAAATATTTGGAGCTTCTGGTCATGATTGTGGAGTAGGTAAATGTAGTACTTACATCCTCCCACAACCACATCAAAATACCAACCAAACCACAGAACAACCATCATTCAGAACTGCCTGAAATCTAGCCAAACAGAGGTCCTACAACTAAGGATTTAAAGAAAAAGGCACACTGAGACTGGTAGGAGGAGTATGGATGTGGAATGGGCTTCTTCTTCACTTGTGTGGTGCATAAAAATTGGGAGGGATATCTGAGCTGCAGAGGTCCCCTCTGAGGAGCAAGGGGTCCCAGCTTCCCACCAGGTTCCCCATCTCAGGGTTCCAATGCCAGGAAGAGAAGTCCCCATAACTTCTGGCTCTGAAAACCAGCAGGGCTTGTGGCTGAATGAGACGGAGTGTGGTTGGAGTCACAGGCATTCCTCTTAAAGGGCCCACTCTCAGACTTACTTGGACTCACTTGCTCTGAGCTCCAGCACTGGGGCAGTAGCTCAAAAGGCACCAGGGACATATGGGGAGAGACTGAATTGTTTGGCATCACGCTGAGAGCTGGAAGGCAGCTTTCTCCCAGGCAGAAGTGCTGGCAGAGGCTATTGTCCCTTTTCTGAGTCCTCCCCCCACAAAGCTGGCAGGCAGGTGCCGTAT